ATTTTTAAATTTTCATTTATAGCTTTTACATTCAGCATATGAAAATTTTATACAGGTCTGAGTCCTGTGGACCTGGATTCCAAATCTTTTAAGAGCCGAGCAATGACAGTACCACTCCTGTTGAGAAATTCTGTGACTGTGCAAGGGAAGACCTTTGTTAATACTTGCTGGGGTATCTGGGAAATCAGAGTTCAGGGCTACTTCTTAGCTTCTGGAGTGATAATGCTTTGCTGGGATGTTAGTTTCACAAGTAGTAGGTATAGTAGGGGTGCGGAAATTTAGTCTTGGGGGCCAAATCCAGCCCACTTGGGGTCCCAATCTGGTGCTCCAGGGTTTTCCTGGATGTCCATCTCCCTGCCCCTTTGCCAACTTTATTTCTTCCCAACTACTGTTCAGCTGGTAGTAGCTTTTGTGAAGTTTTCCCCCCATTCTAAATGGTTGGCATGGCTCTCCTATGGCTTAGTTAGAGGCAGCATGAGCTTGTTTTGTTTTGTTTTTTTAATTTTATTTTAACATTTTAGCCTGTCTTTTCCTGAAATGGATCTCAAGACAGCTTTAATCTACATCACTTTATTATTTTTTTTAAATGGCTCTATTGCTTTTGCCTTTGGTCTTGCCCCCTTGACTTCAGCCCCATCTGCACTGGAATGTCTCTCCATGAGAGGTTCTTGAAGACTAAATTCAGTCCTTAGGCATTTCTCACTCCTGGTATATAGCACAGTATGCAATGGCAACTATTTCAACTGTTGTTAAATATCATTCACTTTTAGGGATGTGAAATTACAATCCTACACACACTTACTTGAAACCAGGGAGACTTACTTCTGAGTAACTGTGTTGAGGATTTGGTACTGCTTTTTGAATTGGTTGCAGCATTTGAACCAATCAGTTGAGCTGATCTCATGACTTTAATGAAATGGGAGATATGAGAGCTGGAAGCTAAATGGCGGTTTCTGCAGGAAAAAAGAAAACAGAGCATAAAAATCTAATTGAATGGTGTAGTCAGTTTTTACACAGATCATCCTTTCAGCTCTGTTGAGATCATAATGGCCAAAAGGCATTGGAGAAGGTCATTAAAAATGGAGCAGGAATTAAAGGACATTTCTTATTTTATGGGAAACGCTAAGATCCACATCAAGAAACCAGAAGATGAGTATACATCTAGGCAGATAATATTGCTGTTATTGTTCTGGGTATACACTCAGGGATCAGAATCACACACAACCTTCCTTAGTTTTAAGAATATCATCAATTAATAACAGTGCAGTTCATATCAATTACTGTGATTTCTGGGACCATTGCTGATATACAAAATTACCACAACAATAATTATGATTATTAGTTTGTAATAATCTATCTGAGCACCTTTGTGGGCGTGATACAAATGCAAGAAAAAAACAGCATGCCTGCAAACCGATTTCTGTTTCTCTTGACACCAAAATTTCTCTCATAGATCAATAACTTGTTTTGAATTATTGGCTCTATAGTTTCCTTTGTACCTTTCTTCCTCTGTTGTGATTTTTCTGACAGATGAGTTGATGGGCTGATGCATCAAGTGTAAATAACAAAGACCCATGTGACAACCCTCAAATAACTCTGACTTGCTGGGTTAGCATGACATGACGTAAACCATGGCAGCCCCTACCTGGGGCTAACATATTCACAATGGCAGCCAGCACACGCCGGAGCTCTTTGTGGGAAAATTAACCCATGAAGGACTGCCATGTCATGTAAGCAGATCAATCATATGCATTTCCTCTTTCCTCTATCAGTTGCCATACACTTTTGGACTTTATTCACGTCTAAATAGAGCAAGGAAGACATCCTCACAATAGCAATTCAATATAATAGTAAATATCTCAGACTAGCTTTTAAATGACCTTTCAAAATTCTTTGGATGTTTAATGTGAGTTATCAAGCAGAGAAAGAATACTAGAAACACAAATAACATTATTTAATGACTAAAAAATGGAAGTTCTTCATACTTGAGTTTGATACTGAAAACTGTTGCCAAATTGACCCCAGAAAATGAATTAAAATAGTTAGAAGAAGACTTTTGATATAAGATTTTGATATAAGATACAAGAGATGGAATAGAATGTACAAACCTGTGTTTCAGAGTTTCCTGGAAAACAGAAAAATAATTAATCTTGAGATTTAAATTATAGTTAATACATTTTAAATATATAGCTGATAAACTAGTATCCTTATTGTAATAATTTCACAGAGGGTCTGTTATGTTAGGTTGAAACCTGTGGATAAGACCTATTGAATTCAGTTTTATTTATGAGTATTGACATATTGGAACTGCAGGTGGCTCAGTGGTTTAAACCGCTCTGCTGCTGGGCTGGTTGATTGAAAGGTCGCCGGTTCGAATCTGCACAATGGGATGAGTTCCTGTTGCTCCATCCCAGCTCCTGCCAACCTTGCAGTTTGAAAGCATGCAATTGCAAGTAGATAAAAAGGTACCACTTCGGTGGGCAGATAACAGCGTTCCGTGCACTTTGGTGTTTAGTCATGCCGGCTACATGACCACGGAGACTGTCTGCGGACAAACGCTCCTAGGAAACAGAGATGAGCACCGCCCCCTAGAGTCAGGCATGACTGGACTTAATGTCAAGGAGAAACCTTTACCTTTACCTTTATTGGCATTTATAATTCCACTTTTGCAACAAAAAATAACAGGAAAGATTTCCAGCTCAGGAAAGCTTATGCCAGAATAGATCAATATAGATGTTTCCAGATGTTAGGCTCCTAAAAATACCAATTAAAAGTGTTGGTTGGGGGACACGAGGTGTTGTGGAATTTGTCTAAGTATGTACTAGATTGTATCCTAATAAGCACCAAATGCTTCCAGAAGGGCCATTTATTCTGAAACTGCCCTACTTCAGTTACTGAATTATATTAGGAGATTTAGTGGATCTTCCATTTGTAACCCTGCTGTGTTTTTCCACGGTTTGTTTAATCTTTTTTCTTATTAGAAAAAAACAGCTCAGAAGGAAAAGACAGAATAGCTTATCAGTGCTTTTAGATAGATATAACTAGGAGCCTCTGTCTAGAAGTATCCGTTTTGGTGCTTTCAGGCAAGTGTGCATGATTTCTGATGCAATTATCTGCTTCATTTGCCTAATTTTATGGGATGCCCATTGGCAGCATCTAACTTTCCTATCTTTTACTGCTGGATTTTCCATCATTTTTCTTTCTACATAAACACACATGGAAGTTACGAAAAGTTGGCACAACTGCACAATTCCAATTCAAAGGGTCGTGCTAGGAAGCCCACACGAGGTTGTTAACCTACAGTTGCCCTGCCTCAGTTATGGAATTCTACAGATGTTCCACCAGACAACTTCTGTTTCTAGTCAGACAACCTCTGACTAGATTTTTAAGCTGTTATTACCCTGACTTATATTATGGAGTTATTATTTTAGGAGGCTCAGATGACATTGTCTTCTATTTGTAATCTTCCTGAATCTTCCCATCACTTCTCCATCTTTTCTTTTTATGCAAAAATTCATTAACTAGGGAAAGGCAGGATAACTGTCAACGTATTAGCTGTGCAGTGGGCACAAATTTATGCATGATCTGACAGAAGTGTCCTACAAATCCCAGCCAGTTATATTGAGGGCTGTAGGGCTTTTTCCTGTCTAAAAAGACAGGATAACTCCTTAAAGACATCCATTTGGTTTAAGAATAAACCAGCTGCTTAAAATGCAACCCATTCCACCCACAATAATTTCTCATTTTCTCCATTCTCAAACAGGCAGCCGTGTTACTCTTTTGCAGCAAAGACAGCATTCTTGCGGTAGCTTAAAATCTACAGCTTAACATTTAAGGCATTTATTCTAGTACAAGCTTTCAGAGACGTATATTCTGCTGAAGTGGAAAGTATCCACGAAAGTTAATTACAGAACTCATTTGTTAGTGCTTAAAGAGCCAAAATAGTCTTTGGTGTCATTTCCTTAAATAGCTAGTGCCACTTTAAACATTCCTATATGTTGTTGTTGTTAGTCCCGAAGTCGTGTCTGACCCATCGCGACCCCATGGACAACATTCCTCCAGGACTTCCTGTCCTCCACCATCCCCCGGAGTCTATTCAAGCTCACACCAACTGCTTCAGTGACTCCATCTAGCCACCTCATCCTCTGCCGTCCCCTTCTTCTTTTGCCATCTATTGTTCCCAGCATTAAGCTCTTCTCCAGGGAGTCCTTCCTTCTCATTAGGTGGCCAAAGTATTTGGGTTTCATCTTCAGGATCTGGTCTTCTAAGGAGCAGTCAGGGTTGATCTCCTCTAGGACTGACCAGTTTGATCCCCTTGCTGTCCAAGGGACTCGCAGAAGTCTCCGCCAGCACCACAATTCAAATTCTTTGGCACTCAGCCTTCCTTATGGTCCAACTTTCACAGCCATATGTTGCAACTGGGAAAACCATAGCTTTGACTATACGCACTTCGGTTGGCAGGGTGATGTCTCTGCTTTTTAGTATGCTATCTAGATTTGCCATAGCTTTCCTCCCCAGGAGCAAGCATCTTTTAATTTCTTGGCTGCAGTCCCCGTCTGTGGTGATCTTGGAGCCCAGGAAAATAAAGTCTGTTAATACCTCCATTTCTTCCCCATCTATTTGGCAGGAAGTGAGAGGACCGGATGCCATGATCTTAGTTTTCTTAATGTTGTGTTTCAAGCCAACTTTTGTGCTCTCCTCCTATATATATTCCTATATAGGTTTTTTCAATTATTTCGTTTGGATTTAATTCGAGGTCTTTCCCTATCCTACTCTGCACCAAAACCCCAAAACCTGAGGTCCTGAGAGGCATAATATTCCTCTCCCAAAAGACTTCAAGTCCCAGAGTTCATTTCGGAAAGGCGTTTTTCTGGAGCCCCATAGGGGTTGCAATTCCGCTACTCCACAACGACGGGGAACGGACCTTAGTTTGACTACATTCCCCATAGTGCATGGCGACCAAGGGAACCAAATGGGGTCCGCCCCTGGCCGCCTCCCCCTCCCCGCCAGAGCGTCGGGATAAAGGTTCCGTTCCGTGCGCAGTGCGGCTTGGTGCGACGCTGGTGACAGGGAAAGAGGCCAAAGCTGTGGGGCCAGGCGCCGCTAACAGCCTGGCAGCGTCCGAATCTCCGCCGAGGTGGGGGGAGGACGACTCTGAGACGGAAGCCCCGGAAGACGAGATGTCTGGGGGATGGGGAGGGCCCTCAGCCCGGGGGGGCAGCGGCGGCGGATTATGTCGCGAGTTGTGCCGCGCATTCGGCCACTACAACCGGCACCTGGCGCGGTTACAGCACAACCTGCGAGAGACGAAGAAGTTCTTCCGCGACATCAGATACTCGCAAGGGCCCGCTGTTTTGCCCGTCACTAGTCCTCCTGGGCCTGTTGGGAAGGAGCCGCCTGAACAACAACCCGCCCCCTCGGTCCTCGATAGCGCCCCCACTGGTGGGGGTGCTTTCCTGCAGGCCGGTAAGGAACTCGGGTGTGTGGAGAGGCCATATCAGGGGAAATGGGTAACAGAGGGGCGGGAGGGTGGAGAAGAGGATCTCTCTCAAATATCTTCTAGATCCAAGACCTAACAGATGTAGTTCTTTAAAGTATTATGCATGGAAGGCGAAGCCCACCATGCGTGGTTTTCATCGATTAGTGAAAGAAAGGGTCGCACTTGGCGGAGTTCTCCAAGATGCAGTTCCCAAAGCTGTGTAGTTTTTTTTAGGAAGCAAGTCTCCCTGAATTTCATGAGTCTTCCTCTCCAAGGAAGTGTAAGGATAGTTTTAGGGTACGGGAGAGAGTCTTTTGAGAGGTTACGTATCTGACATAGGAGCCAGATCCATAGGGCAGCCTTTCTTGATTTGGAACCTGCTGCATGTGCAAGACTGAAACTTCAGCACATCTGGTTTGGCTGTGAACCCACAAACACTACACTGTGCTCTAGGGCTCTTTCCTGTTTCTGAGGGAAGGGAAGTGAGAGGGGGGGTTGAGAGAATGACAGCAAGGCAGAGGGCCTTCTTGGTGGTAGTCGCCAGATTTTAAAATGGTCTTTCAATGAAGTCTGCCTGGCACCAACATTATCTTTTGGGCACCAGGTTAAGATTTACCTCTGCTCTGGAGCATTTGACAGGATATGATAAGGCTTTTCAGTGGGGTCTGGTTTTTTATTGTGGGTTGTTCACCATTGTTTTTATATTTTTGTATGTTGTTTGTTTTACATTATGTTGTTTTTTAAAGGATTCTAATCACTGTAAACTATCCAGAATGCTTTGGCTATTAGGAGGTATAGAAATGTAATGAATGAATGATCTCATTAGCCTGGCTTGATATGATGAGAATTGCCTCCAATACATTTGAAGGGGCCCAGGAGAGGAAAGATTGCCCTTTGACCTAGGTCTTGCTGCCATACTTGGGAAGAGGAGATCGTCTGGGCTTTCCAGTCAAAGTGGGAGATTAAGAGAAAGGTGGTGGTCAGAATTTTAAAACATATAGGAGGTTTCCATGATGATGGAAGGATAGCATTTTTGACAAGTGAATGCTGTTTGAAGTTGACCAGAACAACAACAACAATAATATATTTTTTTAAGAGGCCATGAGTTTCTCTTTGTGTTCTTCATTTGGATTACAGCCAAGTTAGGCATTTGTTACGGCAACAGTGTTTTTGTGTGTTTATGTATATGTGCTTTGCTTTAACCTTTGAAAAAGCATGACCAGCATATTTCTGTTATATCTGTCCTAAATAGAACTGCTACCTGATCTCTCATTTTATTTGAAAAGTGTAATATCTGCTTTTCTTTATAAAATAAAAGCAAGGCACTATGATTTCACTTTAAAATTGGGACAGATCTTGTGATCATTTTTAGTAAGGACGTTCTCCTTTCTCCCTCCAAAAGAGAAGAAAGAAAGACACACAGACACACACAGGAAGGCTTGTAAGTGAGAAGATGAAAGGTGTTGCTACTGACTGAGGTGGTTTTTCTGCAGCATGGCTCTGTGTGGGCAGCAGACTCCAGTACTTTAGGGCAGAGACTTGGTGGTGATGTTAATATGATAATGCAGTTGTAAGTAGCCAGAAGTTGTTGCCCCTCCCTTCCTGTTGCCCCCTGAAACATAGTAGTTTTGACCTTTATTGAATGCTGTGGTAATGGGAAGAAAAGGTTTGCTGAGACTGAAGAAAGCAGACGGTCAGATTACATTTTGAAGCCCTGTTGGGGGAAGCAGTGAATTAAAGATTTTAGAAGTGACATTGGTGTAGATGGATATAGTAATGGCCAAGATGCACAATGTAGACTTGTAAAAAAAAGGAATGAAATAATGTAAGATAAATCATAGGATGCAGTTCTGAATAGATGTGTGACTAGAATACATGGCCTGACTCTTAAGGGAATAAATGGTGACCTTAATAAGCATTTAATTAATTAACCAGTTAAAATCAGGATGTTCTAGTAGAAGACCTAGCTTTTAAGCATACTTTACAAAAGAGTTGTTTTGGTTGTCTAACTCTTCAGCATACAGGTTACATTTCAGGGTACAGGAAAGTTCTGCCACTTTTTTGTTGGGAAGCTTTGTACAAAATGCAGCATATGTGCAATAAAATATTGTTTAGGAAGGAGCTAGTGTGAATGTTAGGTTCTAATCTAACGTACATGTAGGTCTATAATGTCGTGGTCTCCAAGAAGCCATCCCAATAGCCATAGAATGTTTTGAATCTCCCTCGCCAAAGGTGGATAGAGAGGTTCAACCTCTAAAAAAGAGATGCAGCTTCATAAACTCCTCCAGGCACAAGAAAATTTCTTCTGACCTTTCCACTCTCTTAGAGATCAATACTCATAGAAGCCAAACAGAGACATACTGTGGGTGGAGATATACTGGGGTAAGAATTGTATCTGAAGGAGGCATAGTCCTCCCATTCCCCTGCATTGCCTTCTGAGATAAAAAAAAAAATATTTCTGGTTTGGCTTCTACCATATACATAATGTTCCATTGCAAGCAATGGAAGAAAATTATGAAAGTAAGGGGGCAGAGATGCAGTCTTGCTACTTCCTTCCTTCTGTCCTGCTTGTGTGAACCTAAGAAGGGTTCAGATAAGGCTGTTCCTCTATCTTTAAAAAGAATTCCATCGAACAGAATTAATAGAATTAGCCTGTTAGTGAGCCAGTTAAAGCTAAAATATTTTTGCTCCTTTGACATATTCTAGTTAGCAAGTTCTGATTGTATTTATTTATTTATTTCTGCACCACCCATCAGCCAGAAGGCTCCCTGGGCTCACAAAATCAAAAGATTTGATAATTAATATGTAACAATCATTATAAAATCACAGTAATATAATTAGTATAAAATACAATAATACAAAAACAATGATCCATCCACCACAACTGCAGCTAAATCAGTCTAGAATACAGTAGTAAAATACAGTAAAAATGAAATTGAAGTCTAATTATTAAAATATTGCAAAAATAAAAAAAAGTTTTCACCTGGTACTAGAAGGAACAAAGGGGAGATGATTTCACAGATGGGGTGCCGTAACTGAGAACACCCTTCTCTTAGTAGTCACCCTCCTTGTCTCCCTTGAAGAGCGCTCCCTGTGAAGGACCTCCAGTGATGAGTTCAGGGTTCAGATAGTCATGTATGGAAGGAAGTGTTCCTTCAGATAACCTGTTCCCAAACCAATTAGGGCCTCAAATGTTGATGTTAGGACTTATTTATTCATTAGATTTCTAGCCCACCCCATTAGCCACATGGCTCAGTTGGTAACTGATGTAATTGATAGAGGACTGGCGTGATGTGGTCTTGTCAGTGGCCTGTTAGCAGCCTCACTGCTCTATGCTAAACAATTTGAATATATATAATGCTTGAAATGTTTGATTTGCATATGCATCATAGTGCAAATGTAGGTGATTTCTGAAGCTTTGGTTCCTTTTGGCTTTATAATTATTATAAAAAATCAAAACTGGTTCACACATCTAATGCTAGGTGTCCTTTATTTATTTAGGAAGCTTCTATGCCGCCCCTTTCGCCAAAGCCTCTGGGCGGCTCACAACAATAAATAAATAACATAATAACAATATAAAAACAATATAATTGGAGATGTCCTGGCCAAAGATGTCAAATCAATAAATAATATTAACAATTAAAATGACATTTAAATAAAAAGGTCTTACATGATGGTTTCTATGCATTTGCAATTACACAATATGAATCAGACTTGTACTATAATGCATGATTCCTGTGGTTGTAAGTAGCACTTTTGCGAACAGCAATAATCAAATGCACAGGTGTACTTACAGTCCTTTCTCTGTTTGATCATGAGCACATAGCCAGAAGACTGAAGAATATTTTATTTAATTATCTTTCTATGCCACCCAATAGCCAAAACTCTCTGGGCAGTTCACAGATCTTAAAACCATAAAATAAAATATGATAAAATTAAATATAAACATTTAAATGTTTAGAAGTACAACATAAAATAAAAACAAAAACAAAATAAAATGGCAGTGGTGCAAAGATTTAAAATACAGTAACAGATTTAAAACAGAAAATGAATGATTAAAATACTTGGTAAAATACTTGGTAAAAGGTCTTCATCTCATCCTGAAAACAGTACATTGTAGGCACTAGGCAAACCTCTGGGAAGTTTACAACTGGAGTATGACACCAGAAAAAGCACTGTCACCATCTTATCATTTGATAAGAACTACTAGCTTTAGATTTCAAATAACAGTCAGAGAACAAGATGGTGAGGCAGCATTCATACAGTTAATATGTTCAACTATTTTTCAGATTTGAGTTTGATAAATACTCAAAATGTTTAGTGGTTTAGTGAGTCCTTATGTTACGGGCCACCCTTGAATAAAAAAGTGGTATCTTCTTATGGATCAGTAACTGGTTAATGAATATGAGTATATGGCAGACAGTGAGAATAAATGATGAACACACATGAATTCCAACCCATAAGGAATTCATTGCTGCTACCAGTTTGGATGGCTTTAAATGGCGATTAGACAAATCAATGGAGGAGGCTATCAGCAGCCACTAGCCTTGCTGGCTATGAGCTGCATCCATTATCAGAGGCAGCATACCCGTATACACCCGTTGCTCAGGACCTTGGACAGGCAGAGCTTTTGTACCCAACCTGCTCGAGGAATCCTGTAGACACCTAGTTTGCCACTGTGTGAACAGAGTGCTGGACTGGATGGACTACTGGTCTGATCCAGCAATACATTTCTTATATTCTTATGATAAAATGAAGTTTCGATGCTGGGTAAAAATAACATGGCAACCATTGTGGATAACTAACCAGAGAGGTTGTTGTGAGATCTAAACTCAGACTGTTCTCTCCAGGGTGATCTGTTTGTGGGCAACAAGCTGCCCCAACAATCCATGACTTGATCTAGGGGTTGTTGAAGCCATGTTGTATTCTTGTGTCATCTGAACTCAAGAGATCCATCCATCATGGGTTGTAAAAAGCAGAGAGTCAG